TCTGACAGGTACAAGAGGAGATTGTTCCTCCTTCTCCAGCGCAGCATCTGGTGGTTTTGAACCAGTCACCTCTGGGATGGCAGTGCAGCTTCTTGCCACTAGGCCACCAGAGCTCAACTTGTATTTTGTTTTTTTTAAAAATTTCTATCAAGAACATTTTTTTCTGTCACTTTGGGTTGCTTCCAAAGTTCAAGGACAATGTGTTTGACAGTATCCTTTATGTGCATTGATATCACACACAATTTCATGTATTACACTTGTAATTTCATGTCCTACACCTGTAATTTTCATGTACTACACCTGCCTCCTTTCATGCATTTTCTATCTCACTTCCACACACCATCCCCAACTTCCAAGAATGGCCTGGCGGTGGTCTTCTGAAACACTCCCCTCCACCAATGGTAATACCTGAAGAGCACAATTCCACGCTGACCACCACCGAGCCCAAATCTGCTCCCCAGAAATTATTTTGAAACATAATACAGCCTAGGGTTGTGTAGATGGCAAATGGCAATTTGAAACTGTTGGGGGTTTGGGTGTGCAGGGGCTGGGTTTGGCAGCCAGCAGCCCTGTCCACTGTTGGGTGTCTCTCTGGGCTCTGAGGCAGCACGGTTCCCCGCCCCGTGTCTTTTCAGGAGTGGATGAAGGACACCCAGGACATGGTGGAGGTGCGTAAGCTGGACAACGGAGCGAATGAAGAAGACAGTATCCTCCTGGACACCCTGCTGGTGGCCCAGCTGGCCAAGGGTGAGGTGGATGCGCCCACAGCGGGGACATTGTACCCACAGATGGAGCTGGACAAGGCCGAGGAGCCCCACAAGAGTGCCCAGAGGACCCCTCAGCGAGGGGACATGGTGACCCTGGGTGATTTCACCTTCGTTGTGAATGACAATGCTTATGTGATGTTGTGAGAAGGTGTCACCCTCTACAATCAACGCAAGGAACAACACCAGTGTTTGGGACCATGCATTCTAGGGGACCCCATGGACTAAAGGCCTCTGTGTCCAGTTCTGCACCCAGGACTTCTCCAGCACACAATGTGAGGGCAGGACCACTGGATGACAGGGTCGCTCGCCAGCACCCCGCTTCTCATACTGCATCTCTTCCAATATGGTGCTGGACACAGGTATTGAAGAAGGATGGCCAGGTACATGGAGGTCACCTGCTTCTCTGCACATGGGTCCACCCTCTCTCACAGCACACCCAACCGTGGCCAGCTGCTCGGACTCTTCATTCTGTGGGATAGGGAGACAGAGGGTAGACGGAGGGGTGAGGAGATGTGGTGAGGGGTACATGAATCAAGACATAGTTGGATAAGTGAGGGAATGGGGGAGTGGAGGAGATAGATTGGTGGGTGGATGAGTGAATGGATGGATGGATGGGTAAATGGATGAATGATGGATGATGGATGGATGGATGGACAGGTGGATGAATGGATGGATGG